TATATCTTCGAAACAAATGCATTTTTGATTTATCTGCCCTTGCTGCATGGGCAAGAGGCATACAAATTTCTGCAATTCGTGAAAAGACCCTGCAAACTGCTTCTGATCCCACGCGGAACCCGTAACCCACGCACAAGCTAATCTAATTTGGCATCATATGCGTAATACAGCCAGAGGCGAGACTGCTGTAACTCAGCCGTTTTGCCACGGAATCTGATTCAGCATCGATTCAGCTCTCTGTTTTTTTTTCTTTCCGGTTCATTAGGTTGGGTGGCTCAAAGGGGGCTAAACTAGGTATTCAGTGCATGGAACTGGGTTTTTAGTCAGACTTCGACGAATGAATTTTTAGTTTTTCTTTCTTCTTCAATCGAACATGGTCCAGCTCAAGCCATTCTACAGCGAAAAAAAAACCTTAAAAAAAGGGAAGATTCGTTAACAACGAATTCCGGATTAATTTTTTTTAGAATGTTCTGGTATCCAAAATTACCCCTTTTTCGTTCTTTTTACAAACATCAACCATAGTCCCGCATAAAATATTTAATTCATTCCGAAGTTCAATGAAGCCGATAAAAATGAAAAGCCCATTTTTTTATGCATTTCTGGTCACGGTTTTTCTTTTGAAATCATTTGTGCACTTTCTACTCCGAAAAAAGTCAGACACTGGCTTCTTGGAAAACGTTTCAGCATTCATTCATAAATTGCTAAACCAAATAATTTGCCGATTTCAATTAGCATCCAACTTTGACCAGCTCCTCTACAGTTAAATTCTCGTTACAGCGATTTATTTTGTGGTTCTCCGAATCTCGTTGTGAAGTAACCATCCGCGAATTCATTCGCAAGGGAATGGAAATCGCAGCATATTTGAGTTTCACAATGAATGTAAAGTAATTATTAAATGAAAAAGACCAGAGGGAAATTATAATTTTGGACAAAATTAAACCGTAAAAAACGGTTCACTTCAATTTCAACAAGAAAGCGTTATGCAACTCACCTCAGGGGCGTAGCGTCCCCAGCCGAAAAACGGCGCCACAGTGAACATCGCAGAAAGCAGCCAGATGACGAGAATAATCCCGCAAATCTGTTCACAGAAAAAATCTCCATCAGGGCACATGTACAGAAATACACCTGGAAAAAAATGGAAATGACGCACTTGCTTCCTGGAAAGCCTCTTGCTTGTCTGGAAAGGGTAGGCAACTACAACGTATCGTTGGTACGCGATTGCAGTGATTGCCCAAATTGCAGAAAATCCACTCAGCACGCTAATTGCTCCGTACACATCGCATCCTTAATTACATAAATAAATGCATCAAATCAGCATTTCCACCAAACCTGAACGCATGTTTTTGTTTTTAATTTCACGCATTTTTTACATGGAAAAAGGTTGAAATATACGGTACTCATTAGTTGCTATTCAATTTCATCTCGGCCAACTCACCAAGCTTTCCCAAGTATGGGCCTTTGTGGAAGCTGTTGACGATGAAGATCGACATCTTCGACATCATCAAAAAGTCAGAGCAGGCAAGGCTCAGCACCAGCATATTGGCCCACGTCCTCAACGCTTTTTTACTGCGAAAATTCCAGACATTTACCTTTGTAAACGTGCTTTTAAAAAAATCGTGCGTTTCAGCACCCTCAAGCAATAACGACTGAACATGATATTTTTCCTATGCTTCCAAAAAATAATATTAATACCTCCATACAAACCTTTTACCTTCGCGCGTCTAGTTTCATAGCTCAATGTTCGGGATTTTTCGGTGCTGGTTTTTCATGGCACTTTCCAGATGATACGCGGAATTGCCAATGGATTTCGTAAATCATTAAGTACGGTTGGTCTACTAATCGAGGGAAACCAGCGATAGGAAGAGATAGATTCTTTTTTTTAATGAAAATGAAGCGCAGGAGGTCAAATATCAAGGAAGAGAAACCCAGGCTCTCTTCTCTGATTACGGATATTATTGTAATATTTCATATTTTGAAGCCAGCGGGGAATGTCCGGCTAATTTGGTGAAACGAGATGGTGTGTCTTATATTGGTAGTACCGTATAACCCACTTCAAGGGTAAACAGACCAGATTTAAAAATAAATTCTCAAATACTGACGGGAAAATGTTTGCGTTCATTTTTACTCCATGTCTCATGAATTTTAGAGGTATTCTGTCCGTAGGTTTCCTGGATACCCCGACCCTGGATAGGTTTTCCTGGAAACGCATGATAGCAAACAATTCGTAAGACTTTCCAGTAATTTTTTTTATTGGGAATATTTTTTTACGAAGAACAGATCAAACAGTTTCCAATCGCCAGAGCCCCTCAAAGCGGTCGAACCATAGTCATCAAATCAAGCTGGCGTTTATACTGACACTGAAAGCTTCGCGGAAATGAACGACCGATGAAATGCTACGTGTCGAACTTTCTCAATCACGAATTATACGAATTGAAAACTCACGTCATTGTAAGAAAAATAAGAAGGCCGTTGAAGGAAGTCGACACTGCCATGAGCAGTATGTAAACGGAGGCGAGGACGTAGTGAACCCAGTCAGGGGGCGCCTGGAACTGGCGCCAGTACGCCGCTATGTATTGCAAAAACTCCGGCGACGCGTCGTCACCCAAGTGTTTTATCCGCGGCTCTGTCGAATTCATAGGCGACGGTTTCCGACTGATATAGACGCCGCGAGATCAATCAAAAGCGGAAGTTTTCCTGCTACAGTGCTCTGGACATCAAGGAAAATATTTTTCATTGATTTCTTGGAAAACTTGGCAACGAAACTTTCATTTCAAAACTATGGTCAATGCCGAAATTTGCTAAAGAGACGAGCAAAGTGGAGTGAGACCCACGTCATCATCTGAACTAGAAATCGGATGACTTAATCTTCAAGTGAGGAAAAATCCACGAATAAACGTTTAGCTTCCTTGTCAATCGCCCTTCTACAGTAGAACTGAAATGAAAACTATGCAATACAGTTGGGATAATTTTCCCTAATTTAACATCACAATGTTCCAACACTAAGTTTATTCAGCTGCTAAAAAGAGTTATCCACTTAGGACCAGACATATTTCAGTAAATTACTGACGTCGAAATTTCTTTTTAAAAAACGGGTACGTGGGTAATTCAATTAACCAAATAATGGAATATGTTGACCCTCAATTGAAAACTAGGCTATTTTTCTTGTCCCTTTTTTCTTGTCGATGAGAAGCAAATTTGGCCACTGGTAATTTAAGATCGGATAACTTTTAATATTTTACACAAGGTATGTGGAATCTACGGAAATTCCTCGAATGAGGAGCAAGATTTAAAAAAAACATTAATTAGTTATTCGAGTGTCAAAGCACGATAGAGCAGAAAATTATTGAAATTCATTATTTTACTTTTTGCATCAAATTGCGACTCGAATTGGCACAATTCAATTTATCTGGAAGTAAATTTGTGTTCCAATAATAAAAGCACTCCCATCCAGTCTGCCACTGTGCTTTTCTTCCAAGGGACTATATAATTTCATCATGCCTCTTCATAATCGAATTTTATAAATTCCTGGGAAACTTTCGAGAGGAATGACGTCGGGGTTTAGTGATATTTTCGTCTAAAAGGATGCATCACGTGGAGATTATCACCGAAATTCAGAAATTCGAGTGTGCACTTCGCATTGCACTATATACGGGTACAGCTTGATGGGGATTTGTCCATTATAAATCACTCATTCGGCTTTGCGAACACCGGTAATATTTTCGGCTCGATTTCACAGGGATCAAAAAGCAATCGTCATAATCGTGACGCTGACGGGGAACACAATTAAAGTCACGAGAGCATTCGCGGGAGTTGAATTCGAGCTTCTTTGAAGGCCATTGGTGTACTGGTTGCATGGACGGGTTCCGGGTGCAATTTTGACCAGGGATCCCGCACCCAGACTCCCGGAAACGCGCAGACGCTTCACCAGGAAATCTCGTCTGTCTTAATCTGCTTATATACCAGTTGCTCTTTCTTCTCCAGTTGCCTCCCAGGGTCTGGCACAAACCCCCTGGCTCTGCATGGAGTTCAATCACCCCCAAAAGAAACAAATCAAGAGTACCAGTATAGAATTCAAAGAATACAATTTAAAAATATAACATATCCACAATACGTCTGCGCTCTATCTATGAACGACTTGCATATTGATTTTACGTGCTAAAACCCAGAAAAAAATGTATGCATTTTAGCAAAGTATTGTGGAAAAATTAGTAAATTTGCAATTGTTCCCATGAGGCTAGTAGAAATTATTATTCTACTAGAAATTCGATTAAAAGAGACTTCGACAAGTCTCCTCACAAAATTAAAATGAATCTCACTGTCTGTAACGTAATAGAAACATTCCTCAGCGAAGAGAATAAGGATATGTGTATATTACTTCAGTCGACGCCCTTTTCAGTGAAATGTCGAAAATTGTTTCCTGACACAAGGAACTAAAACTTCTCGATTTGGAGAACCCATGATTTCCATGCGTGTACTTGTATGTTCAGCAGGTGTTCAGGAAGTGATGAATTCAGAATTCTGAAATGAAAGCACGGTCTGCTGGATTCTCTGCACTTATTGAAGGCTTTGCATAAAAGAGGTACATGATCACATGTGTGCATTTCGTCACGTGTTCTGAAAGAATGAACAGCTTTAATCTTATAATTGCAAAAAAAAAGACTTCGATAATAAGGCGTGAGAATAAGAACTTCTTCCACTTGATTATGGATCGTGAGATGGTGCAGTATGATTTTCTACATGGAGAGACTATATTTTGTATCAATCTCCAGGGTACTATTTTCTATATTTCGGATCGGATCCACCGGGGATTTAGCAATTTCACCAGAACCTTTGAAGGAACAACCCTTCAATAAACGCACTCCAGCAGGTTAGATTGCACGCTGATATTGCACCTGCAGATTGTGCCTCCTGAAGATTCGCAATCTTTCTGAGAAACACAGACAAGACTCTATTCTGCGTTTCTCGTTTTTTTAAATCGATTTATATCCACAAAAAAAACAGCGGTTCGGTTTTGCTCACGTAACAGCTCACGTGTTTTCGTCAATTTAATACTTTTTGGGAAATTATTTTCAGCTTCTCAAAATTCTGGTTTCGGGGATTTGTAAAAGCCTTTTTTAATGAGGTTCTCGAAGTTATCATGGTTTTTGTTCACCGATGAAGCGAGCGATTCTCCGTAATAATTTCAGCTTCATATGAAAGTTTGAGTTTCGAATAAATTTTCGCGTTTTCTGATACACACATGTCATATCATTGATTTTTTTTCACGCCTCTCCAGTGAAATTGTTATACGTTCGCGTGCTCATTATATGAGTGCGAATATAGAACTGTTGAATTCAGAATACAGTTGACCAAACTTTTCTTCTTCCATCACGATATCCCCGATCATTCAAGAAAAATATCGGTGATCAAGCGCGTCGGTCTAGTTTTTCTTCCGGTCCACTCCGCAGAAATGAGCAAACATATCAGACCATCAAAGAAACGTGCATTCCTCGAAAAACAGAAGAAAGTCTGCAAAGTAAAGAATGATATCCTTCGGAAGTGTTGTAATTTCCGGGGTTCAGATCCTTCTTATTTGACAAGTGCAGCAATGCGGGAACCAGAACAAGTCCGTTGATAGAACCCCGTCCCCTTCCAACGAGACGAGTCGCTTTTGTACGTATTGCTGGCGGCAAGTTGCTCGGAATCCCAGGGGAACTTCGCAAGTTCCTCTGCACTCGGAAGACCTTGGAAAATTTTAATCAAAGTTTGTGAATTTTGCATTCTTTCATGACCTGAAAAAGCATCTTGTTGATTTGTCGAGAAAGGGGATATTTTACCTGCTTCGCACGCTTGGTTGCCTCTTCGCTTATAGAGATACGATTTAAACTATTCATGACGGCGTTACGCGAAAGTCGATTGGAGCAAACGATCATTCGCCAATTTCAGCGCTGACGTTTTAATTGTCTCACAATCGTACCTCCGCTTAATCACGAGAAGTCGCGGCCATGACATGCTTTAATGAAGCATAATATCGGTTTTCAGAGGAATGGTATAGGTTCAAGGGCGAAAGGTCCCGATCTTTCAAGCAATCATTTCAGGTGGCAAAACTTTCGGGACTCATACAAAGTGTGCTATGAATTGAAGCATTAAATTCCCACCTTGAGGTTTTGGGGCGTTCCAGCTTTTACTACGAAAGGTCATATAAATAGTATCTGGTAATAATGACCGAATGTTTATTTATGTCACAGTTTTACTAAGTAAGCATAGAACAAATGACCTATCCTGCACCGAAACATCTAAATGACATAATTAAAAAATTAGTTCAGTCCTAGTGGTTCTCAATATTTGCTCTCCTATAAGCATTTATACAGAATGACGCAATTTTCAGAAGCTCCTCGACTGCTAAAAAATTGTCTAATGCAAATTAAATGATTGGATGCATTAAATTTCGACATAAATGAGGGAGATTCAAGAGGCAAAAATAAGTCGAGTTTCAGAAAATGTCGAGTTCCAAATGAATTTTTGGAACTATTTTCTGTGACAACTATAGAGTCTTTGTTCACACGCCTGTAACCCGAGCGTTAAAAAAAAGTTTTTTGGTTCCAATATATTACATTTTTGCATTCGTTTTCGACTGCTTGGCATATTGGTGTTTGCCTGTTTCTGTATTTGTGCCCAATGGTTCTTGATGTTGATTTCAAGTCAAAATCAGAAACCCTAAAGCGAATTTCACAGCAGTTGGGTGAAGTGCGAAGCACGGGTTCAGAACCTATGCTCTGGTAACGTCTAATCTAGATCGCAACATTCGAAGGCATCATGTGTTCTAATGGTTATCAAATAATCTTTAGCAAAAAAAAACTAGTGAAAACTCAGATGAACTATGTCATCCTGGCGAACTTACGAGCAAATTTCGGCACGCACGAGTTGGACGAACCTCGAAGCTGTTTCTCCGAGATTGACCACATATTTCCAGTTTCCCTGAGCATTCATGGCAGCTTTTGGTTGGACGAAACTTCCGGAAGTGGGACACAAATCGATTCCACCGTCCGATTGCCTTTTGTACCTATGCTTCCCTTGCCTGTAGTTCGGAAGAAACTCTGATTAAACAAATAATTTGGCGTGCGTCAATTTCTATCTTCGGGGTGGGCCATTGAAAGGATCTTACAGGCCACATTTGTCTGCGTAAACAATCAATTAAACTTAGCGGGATCCAAAATGTTGATCAGCAATAGAATCATCATTTTCAGGACGTGTCAATTTTTTTTATGAAACGCCATGCTTGAAGCAGGAATAATTCGATAAAATTGCTTCTCACCTGCTCCTTTTTATAAAGTTCAAGAGGAATCCAATCAATCGAAATTCAAATTCAATCATCTTTTCATCAGTGGTATATATATTCACAAATGAATAATTTACGATCGTGCCATACACAGCATACAAATTCATCAAATGGTTTTAAAACGTCTCCCGCTCCGAAAGTTTTCGTGCCAACTTTTTAAAAATTCCCGTTTTTTCATCTAAAGATCATCTCGGAAAATCCCGCAGCTTCAGACGTGAAAATTGAGATTTAAAGAAAAAACTCACATGTTATGGATTTGTGGATTGAACGGAATCCTGCGGTTTGTGACGTTTGTATGAGCCATCCAAGTATTGTAAGCCATATGAGAGTTCTTAAATTTGTTGCTGACCAGAAAATCATTCATGGACACAGCTTCGGTGGTCGTCGCTGGTCTTCGGTCAGTTCTGCGAACGAAGGAAATAGATACTTTAATGCACATCCAATTCATCGTCAATCCGTCAAGCACCAATTTGCGAACTCCCAATTCATCCAATCACTTATAATCTGGAAAAGCGTACGTTTGCCAATCTCTTTCTGAGATCCAATTAGCGTCATCATCAATGCATCTTCAGAATGCCTCATCTTGAGAGCATCGCTCTCGTATAATTCGATAAGAGAGGCGTAAGTGAGCACTTCAGCTTTGTATCAAGGCTCGAATCCAGACTTCCGTAAATGCACAACGCTGATTAGAAATCACTCACTTGAGTACTCCTCCGGTATCACTAATCGACAGTCGACCTCGTCAAAGTTTGACCATTACCGAAGGAAGATGGGCTGAGAGGCATTAAGAGAAGAATATCCAATTAAGGACTCACTCTTCCAGAACCAAGGTATCGTTGGTTTCGTTCAGCAACATCCTTTGCAGCACAGATCGCTCCAGCAGGTATCTGAACACTTCCCTATGAAATAAAAATGGGGATCTTTTTCCACGGGAAATTAAACAACATGTTTACTTCCGCAGATTATTTTAATATCACGGAACTTCATGGGGTGGAAGTACTGTACTGTATCATCAAACTTTTTTTTTAATATATGTAAGCGGTGAGGTCGGGTTTCTGTAACCCGTGAAAAGATTCATCTCAACCAAGAGTAACAGATTTATGTGGGATTTCAGAAGCTTCATCAGAGCAAAATTAATTTTTAACTTCATTTTTACCTCAATGCTCGGGATTATGACCTGAGTAATCCTGGGTAATCGGCAATCTATAACAGCGTGGCTCTCGAGGGAACGAAAGCTGTTGTCCGAAATAAATGCTATTGAAAAATCTGCAAAATGAAAGGTCACCAACATTTTGTTCAGAATATTGAAAATGATATTAGGAATTTTTTAATAAAATCTATTTCAAGGCTAATTTATAGAAGCGTGAGAAAGAAAGTTGTATTCCGATATTTAAAAAAAGTCCCATTAAGAAATCTTCCAAATGGAAGCTCGCAGCATTTATGTCAAAGTATTGTTAGAGATATAATAAATAGTGTTCGTATAAAATAGAGTTCATGATCAGAGACGGATTGCTTTGAACATTGGGAACTACTCTGAAAAATTTTTAGAGTGTAAGTGGAAAAGTGTTCTCTTACACGGTTTGTTACAAAGTTTGTCCTATTCACAGTGCACTTTTCTGAATCAAGAATTTAAGATTGATACTGTACTTAAGGGTGTACTGAGGATTTATCAGTCTCTTTTTTGATAGCTTCCGAAGAGGATTTTGAACGTTGAAAAATGTTGCTTCGATTTTCTTCCCCATTAAACCGCGATTTTCTTCCCCATTAAACCGCGTTCTATAAAAGCCAAAAACATGTTGCCATAGGTTTGTATGATCTTGCAGATTTTTTTTTAAGCAATCAACTGTTTACCGTTACAGGCAGAAATAAGTTTCCCAGAAAAGCGAAAAAAATCTTCCGGGAAAAATGACCTCCGCTTCCTTTTTCATTATTAGAAAACAACTTTTCACGAATTTCCCAGTATTCCATTCGGCGAAGTCGAAACCAAGGAATTCAAACATTTCCTGTGTCCAACAGTAGATAGTACGATTCATAAATGATTTCCTTCTTTTTCCGATCTGAGTAATGATCAGTCAACACGAATGCATAATCAGCTGGAAGACAGTCACGCAGCGCCTTCTCACGTTCCTCCTTGTCATTGTTAACGCGTTTCCAGGCTAGAAAATCAGACATTTTACGTAATCCTTACGCTTTGGGGCACATCAGAACGCAATGAGCATTTCAAATTTTAAAATGATTGCGAGACGACTAGATATCCGTGGGATGGCTTCGTTTTGCTTCACATTCAACATGTATCCTGAAATAACGCTACAACATGATATCCAGGGCATATTCGTTATTCGAAGAAATTTCTGCTTTTAATTCTCCCCGGAATTTCCTTCTCGTCACTTGTGTGCAAGACAAGCAAGCAGGGCCAAGTAATTCGTTTTTCGCGACGGTGCTTTCCAGTGGAAGCGTCGGTTTTTCACGAGGCAGCGAGGCA